CACACACGTACTATACACGGAGCTAATAAATCATAGTTATTGTATTGTACACAAAATTGCATTTTTCTTCGCGGTGTTTGCCGGTACTATAACTGTAGGCCTATTATCATTATTAGTATCTTTATCGTTTTATTATTATACTTATAATTTATCGTTTTATAATGTCATTGCAAAAAAATAGATTCAATAAGGAGGAGCCGTCAACGGATGGTATTGTTACCACGACTGTCTTTCAAACCGTTGGTGAGGATTACAGTAAATGGAAGGAGCAGGATAATGTAAACGGTATGATTCTATAAATAAAAAAACTTGATGTATAGGCCTACTTTTAATTTATTACGACAACCCTCATATTAAAATATTTACAATAGGCCTAAATAGTTATTTTGATAATTCAATTTGATATTTTTTTTTCGATAACTTCTTAATGCTGTGGCATACTTCTACAGAGATTGAACGAACTAAACAGGTACGCGAACACGCTATCGCTACAAATGTGGCAAAGGCGTTTACAGAAAGTCCGCAAGACCAACCATCTGCATCAGAATCTGGTCCTACTGCTTCTACATCCTCATCTGATCGTGGAGGAAAAGCATCGGCATCTACGTCAAGAATTGATGATGGAAGAACATCAGCTGCATCTATATCAGCAATTGATCCCAGAAAAAAGCCTTCCTTATTTCATAGGTTTATTCAACTGTTTAAAGGTAGATTGTTATTAATGTTTATGACCTAGTTGTCCTCATGCACCTTGCCCTTTTTATAATCTTATTAATTTGTAAAGCCTATAGGCCTAATAATCCATCTCTTTTGTTTGTGTTGTGTGAATCCAGATTGCGTATTGATAATATTATATTGATGAATAAATAATAAAGCTTCTATGTTTCCTCGACTAATGTACCGTATTTTGTGTACAATTATGGCAACGCTTATATATCTGCTCCACTTATCGATTTTATCGTTATTGGAATTGAGAATATTGCCCCTAATTTTGGTTTGTAGTGAGAAATTTACATAATTTTGTGTTGGAGTTCTTTTTTCTGGCATGCCTTTTTGTTACTGCTACACCCCTCATTATCTCGTACGGTCTCCATTTTCTTGATTCATTTTTTTTCCTGAAACTTATAACTCATTTAATGATTGACAGACAATCTTTAGGATATTTTGTCTTGTATATTACCTCATCATTTTTATCATTATTATAAAAGACATTATAATCAACACTACCACCCTTATCATAGTCAACATCATTATCATTTTTATCATCATCTTCATTATCCAACCATCACATTAAAAATATTTTACCCTTCCGATGTTGATCTAGTCATCAAGTTTATTCAATTTCATTTTTCACTTCACTTTCTTTATTTCTGCAAATAAAATGTACAGTAATTCTCATGTGTTTTTCAGGAAAATCGAATCAATATCAGCTAAATGAAATACGCAAGAAAGTCATTGAGAGTATTGCTATTAAGAGATCTGGTGGGCCGAGTGATGTAACTTGCATATGGGACTATGCAGGCCAACTTGATTATTACATTACTCACCGGGTAAGTGGTGAATAAAACCCTGAATTCCAGAATTATCGCCCGTGTTTGCTTGTGGGTTGCCATGGCAGAGGCTTACAATTGAAGAACCGCCAAGCCGTGTGATCTATGAATGCAGGAGTGAAGTAGCAGTTCAGATCAAAGTGAACTCTTATACGCAGGCTATGGCTCTGAAAAGCCGTTAGTGACTTTCGTCAAAGAGTAGGAAAACTAATACTCTTTGGTTTGCAATAACCATTAAGTACAGCGTATGCAACCTTTATAATAGTTCAGTACGCAATCACGAATTCATGCAGTGCCGGGACAATTGTCATCATCATTATGCACGCAGGACTGAATGGATTAAAAATTAATACTTAAATAGTTTGATGTAAAATACCGTGTGTACAGATGGAGTTCTCGTTCGCATTAAATTAATTATTATTTGAGTTGGTCAAATAGTTTATTTAAGTTTTTATAATTTAACTTTTGGATGTAGGAATGTTTATCGTGTCTTTGTGATTAAGTAATACTTCCTTATCTTTTCTTTCCAGTTTTTCATTACAGATGGATCGTCTTACGGAGTCGTTTTCAGTTTGCTAGATGCCTTGGATGAATTTGCTAAGCCAAGGGATCACAATAAAGTACGTAAATCATTTAAATATTCCAGTAAATTTATGAAATACAATGCATAACTTTAATTACATACATCCAAATATTTTTTAATGTATAAAGTTTCAAAAAAAAAAATCAAAATGCGTTAAAGTGGGGAAAAGCTATTCCAGAAATAATTAAAATTTAGAATTGTATTGTATATCCAAATCCCATTTTAGTAATAATTATGTTGATCGATATTGTTTACTTGCAGGGAAAGTATGAGATGACTAATCTCCAGACGATCATATTTTGGATAAGGTCGATATATGAATATGCTATACTGCTACATGGCTTAAAGGAGAAACCTTTGATCAATGGAATGATAGCATCTCCGACGATTAGTCTGATTGGGACGCACATGGACCTACTCACGGGGAGTGATGCTGAGAAGCAGGCAAAGGTAATGTATTGTAGGTCTGTGAGTGTTTATACTATATATTTTGTTTCAAAATCCATTGATATTCTTTTACACCTACTATAAATTTTTCTATTCAAAGATTGATGACATGTTCGACAGAATATTTAAGGAACTCGAGGGAACCCCATACGAACGTCACGTAGATCGTGAGAGGTATGCCGTAGACAACACCACAGCACTGGATGAAGGGATTCAAAGACTGAAAAGAAACGTAGGCGGTTTCATGAAAGCAATGACAAGAACTGTTCCAATAAATTGGATGGACTTCCAAATTGAGGTACAAGAAGCCGGGAAAACAACTCTGCGCATGTCCTTAGATAAGGTATTGTGTTATAGGTATAGGTATTGTATTATAAGGAACTCTAGTAATAAATTAAAATATTTCTTCCAAGGCCGTAGGAAACGATTGGGCTGCTCCGGAAGGCCGTATATGCTGCTCAAGTTTCCGGCCCAAAAATTCACAAATCAATATCGTTGTGTACCAAAATTGTAATTTTAACACAATGTAGTATTTTTTTTTAAACAAATAATATTTAATATAATAAAATAATAATAATAAAATAATAATATAATGTAATATTATTACAGCATGGCCTGACTCAGCATGCACACACACACACACACACACACACACACACACACACGTAAACTATATTTTAAAAGTACTGTAGGCCTGATACCGGTATATGAAATTGACTACCAAGCAAGCAAAAAGAAAAAAGATTTTTTTAAGTATTTGCAACTTTGTGGATTTTTCCAACAGGCCTTTCTAATTGAGAATTTCAGAAATTGCAGTAATTCGCAGACCTGACTGCTTCTTGCAGATTCCTCTTTTTTACCGTTAAATTTATGTATTTCTCTTATGTTCTAAAAATTACCGCGAGATGATTTATTTCACTTATTATCTCTTCACGTATATATATTATATATATATACATATATATATATATATACATATATATATACATATAGAACTATATATAGGCCTATATATACAGTATATATATGTATGTTATATATATAAATATTTATTTATTTAGGCTTATCTCTTTATTTGTTCTTTGAAAAAGTCTATATTTCGAAAATCAGCTAGGGAAACAAAATCTTGACTTTCCGTAGTAAAATAATAGATAACATATAAATTCTCAGAGTGCCATTTCCGGGTATCAGGTGGTGCCTTTCTTTCAATCTTTTTTTCACCTCAGTCCAAAAAATGTTAGGCTGAAGACTGGATATATATATCACTTTATTTCAAAATCACATAAAATTAATAACATATGGTGGTCAAAGGCCAAATTGCATGTTATTTACAAAACAGATAAGATAATTACAATAATTATTATAATTTTTAAATATTTAAAATTCATAATAATAATATAAGAATACAATAATTTAACAAAAATTTATCAAAAATTTAACAATAATTTAAAAATAAGTTGACAATAATTTGATTTGACTTATTCAGCTGAATAATAGAAACAGAATGGGCATCTTACCGGTTCAAGCTTGCTGTTGGTTAATAAGTTTGATATAATAGGGAATTGGGCTATTAGAGAAACGTTTCGTTTTAGAATTGAGTTGGGTAATATTATCCTTATTACGTAGTTCCTACCGTGATTTTCAAAACGGGTAGGGTGGTCTCTTGACGAGAACTTTGATCAGGCGCCGCCAGTGGTAAATAACGCTGTCTGGAATGATGTTCAGTGAGAGGTTGGGTCGGGATTTTTCTCGTTGCCCGGACCAATGATATTTGCTTATAACTTGCCTGATTTCCGGTATGTTTTGCATTACCCTAATTTTACACTGATTGAAGCCTATTTCTGTCAATATATTTGTAATTTTAATAATCGAATCCTTAAACTATGACTAAGCTTTTTTTGGTGTTATTGCGCAACCGATTTATATGTTCCTTATACTCTTTTAGATCACTAAGATTGCTGTGAAATGCGGTATTAATAAAGAAAACGTCATCCACATCCTCAATTACCTTAATGATGTTGGAATTATTCTGTATTCGCCCACTAACCAGGAGTTGAGGAACACAGTGATTACTAACATCCATATGCTAATTGGTATCTTCATGAAAATCATCACAGTTGTGAAACCTGATGATGTTGACAAGGTAGTTTTAATTATTAAGTAAATTGTACAACCTGTCTCTTATACACATCTAGATGTGTATAAGAGACAGGTGTTTATACTATATATTTTGTTTCAAAATCCATTGATATTCTTTTACACCTACTATAAATTCTTCTATTCAAAGATTGATAACATGTTCGACAGAATATTTAAGGAACTCGAAGGAACCCCATACGAACGTCACGTAGATCGTGAGAGGTATGCCGTAGACAACACCACAGCACTGGATGAAGGGATTCAAAGACTGAAAAGAAACGTAGGCGGTTTCATGAAAGCAATGGCAAGAACTGTTCCAATAAATTGGATGGACTTCCAAATTGAGGTACAAGAAGCCGGGAAAACAACTCTGCGCATGTCCTTAGATAAGGTATTGTGTTATAGGTATAGGTATTGTATTATAAGGAACTCTAGTAATAAATTAAAATATTTCTTCCAAGGCCGTAGGAAACGATTGGGCTGCTCCGGAAGGCCGTATATGCTGCTCAAGTTTCCGGCCCAAAAATTCACAAATCAATATCGTTGTGTACCAAAATTGTAATTTTAACACAATGTAGTATTTTTTTTTATAC